CCAACCTCTTAAACCTACGGCTGGGCCGTACAGCAGGCAAGTCCGGCAAGTCCCTGTCCCCTCCAAAACTCACCCCAAAACTCCGCCCAAAACCGGGCTCGGGCTCGGCCCTCTCCCCACCGTGAGGCAGCCCCCGATGAGGATGGACTCATCGGCCAGTTCGCTGTCGATCACCACCCTGGACGGTCGCGACGCGAGCCACGACTTGTCGGTCGCGACGCGAGCGGAAGATCCGCCTGAGAGGTCAACGAGAACAGCACCGGCATTGAAAAGGAAACGACATGAAAACCATAGAAGAACGACCAATTCTGGCAGCCTCTGGTAGGGTATCGCGGCTTTTTTCCTGCTTGTTTGTGGCTGAACTAAGAGCGTGACACTACGTCTAAAAGTCCTTCCCTTCTGGCACGATCAGTGGGATACTCAATCTGCAACGGTCTGACCAGCCCTGGTGATCCCCTCGTTCTTTCCAAGCAACGCTGAAGGGCCAGAAGAACTATCTTATCTGGTCACCCCATGGTCATTAGCTGAGATGAGTGACTACTTTCTTACTGGTCACACCAGTTGCCAAGTGGCCAGCAGAACACAACCATGAAGCCACAAAGGCTTGTTAAGCCTGTACCTCAGTAATTACCCGACTTGGCTCGACCAAGAGGTGGAAGGTGGAAGGGGAGGAACTAGTTGTGTACCTGTATTGCATGTCAGTATATGTCAGTATCAATTTACAGTGGAACGAGGAATGTTTGGGTGTTTTCAGGTCTCCCGCTTTCCATTCTGGACCATCTAAGGGGTCCCAACGACGGACCGGCTTCCAAAAATCACTCAAAGGTCCAGGTCTATCCCACTGGCAGATGAAAATCCTGTATAAGGAATTTCCACAGGATTGGAGGCAAAACACATCAACTTAAACATAACTCGACAAGTCAAGACTCGTCTGTGCACACTTTCCTGACTTGCTCTGAAGGGTGCACTACTACAGAACCATGAGTTTGCCACCATCTGCATCAAAGACTGACTTCAGCGGCCCAGTCCTAAGTAATGTCTCGAGCTTCCTCCTTACAATGCCTTACAACTTGGATTAAGGAATTATATAAGGAACCGGACAACATATTAACAAAAACAACAGAACGGGATTCACCATGATTCACCCATAATTAGTGAAAAGATGTGAAAATACATGAACATACCCATCACTCCAAAATGCAAAACCAAGACTCACTCAATCTGACTCCACGCCCCTTCGCCATCCCCGAGCCCCTTTAGGACATCGAACCCACCGCTCGATCCCGTGCATCGCTCGACCGCTCGCCTTTGGGGTCCACAGTTCGGCGGTGCGTCGCCACGTTGCCCTTGAACACATCTGGTTCACATTCCCAAACACGACCTGTTTGGGACCTGTCATATTTACCTACAGTATCCTACAGTAAGGGGTGGTTTCAGGGATGAATGAGGGCATATATGATAGTCCCATAGAGCGTCTGCGATTGAGTCGGGAAAACCCGTTTCCATAGGTTTTGCAGCTTCTCCACGCCCTTCGTTCGGCGTCGGCGACGCGGCCACGTTCGGCGTGGACTGGAGAACGAACGGCCGAAGACTGGTGCGAGCGGTGCCGGTGCGCCGTTTTGGACCAAGCGGCAAGTCTGAAAGAAGTCCTTCAAAGCGTCCTGGGCGGAACAAACGTGCCGAAAGGACCTTTGAACGGTTGGGGAAAGAAAGATAAAGAAAGGACTCCATGTTGTTTAACCAGGTTGTAAAAACAAGCACAGTTTCTTGGCAACGTCTTCCTTCAACATCAACATCTTCAGCATCTTCAGGTCAAAGAAAAACACCTGATTCTTCGGCTTTTACGGTGTATTCTTCGAGTTTTCCACCCACTGGAGCGGGCTGCTCCACTTAATCCGAGAGTCGGTTCTGGGAACTCCGTGACCCGCGGACCCTCGGACCGTCGGGTGGTGGTGCCCCCCTTCGGTCGTCGGTCGCGGTACCGTTGAAGTTCATAGGCTGTTTTGACCGGTCCCAACCGAGCTGTTTTACTGATCTACACTGAGTGAAACCAGGTCGAGACAGCCAGGGCTGTGGTCTAGGTCGAAAGGACGGTGGGCGAGTTCACGGGCGAACGGGGCCTATCTGAAAGACAGAAACAGGAGAACATCACTTGAGGATGTTCGATCTCTACTCAAAGCCAAACCCACACCAGGGTGACTCTGGATGACCCAACATAACTCAGCAAAATTGAAAAATTGATCCTCAAGCAAATGGCTCAGACCTCCTGAGCCTTCTTCAGCGATCGGAAGCTAGGACGGGCACTGTTTGGCACGACTTCGTTTGAACCAAAAGACCATGCCATTTCGAACCAAAAGGAGCGCAATGGCTTCAATTTGGATGCGTTCTGGGGATTCAGTACCTTGAGTCTCCAATGACCCTTTCAAATTCGCTTTTCCAAGAAAAAGAGGTTTCTGGAAGAAAGCACTCTTTTTTGCATATGTCACGAAATGTTACATGTTTGTTTGTCCCCTGACAAATCCTCCTTAGACAGTGTCCTGAGACCTTTTTTCGGCGTCCAAAAAGGCGTCTTTTTGCGTCCAAAAGGTGTCTTTAAACGTCTGCACCAAACACGTCCGGATGAAGATTCACTCTGTACCTTTTTTTGAGTCCTCATCTCTGAAAACGCGTTTTTCAAGCAAAAACACAAAGTATTAGACCAAAAACAAAAAAAAAGGTCTTCGGAGACTCAAGGTATATCCACCGAGACTATTTTTGTTCAACGTGCAAACACAAAAGTCTGTGCACCGAATCATTAGGGATATATCCCCCAAAGTCCCCCCAAATGGACCCCCAATCTCATATATGTAAGGCTATAAACCAAAAAAACAACAAAATGAGTACAAAATGGAAGAAACACCACGGATAGTCTACGTTGTTCATATTCATTCTCATCCACCCCCTCGTTTCAACGTCCGCGCGATCTCCCGTTGGCCAAGCCGCTGTGGAGGCGGAGGGAACGACCGCTCCGGACGCCGCGCCGCCCGTGGGCCCGGTGACGGTACTGCTGCGGCTGAGGCCACCTGGGCAATCGGAAAAGCTGCAAAATTGGATGGAGAATGGAGAATGGACACATGGAATCTAGATTGATTATGATTGACTTATATACAGTAGAACAAAGCTGGTTCTTTCGAGGATGAAGGAACTTGGAGTATCTGTAAGTCAACCTCGACCCTGAAAATGCAAGTTTCCTGACTTTGGGTCGATTTGGCTGAACCCTCGTCTGTCTTTCAACGTAGGAGGATGGCCTCTTCTCCTGTGAGAGCAAGCAGCCTATGGTCAAACATGTGACAACCCAGGACCCTTTAAACCCGCTACACAACACGGACAACCTCGAAGAGGTCCACTTACGTCCACCTACCATGCCAAGCATCTTATTGCCTCCCCAACTCCCCACTCCCGTGATATCCAGTGATCTCTTTATTGCCATGTCCTTGAAGAAAACAACGGGTGATGCAGAAAAACACCTGAACCTTTCGGAATCTGCGCGAAAGGTGCGGCGAAACAAACCCAAAAAACAACATTACACACACCCACCTGGATGTCTGAAACATTAATGGGTGTCATTAAACACATACTAAGTATTAAACACACCCAATAGAACACACACAACCAACCCACCTGGCTCATCCACCACTGCTACTCGCTGTCCCGGTCGACTCGCTCGTGTCCCAAGGCGCCGGTCCAGACGCCGCCGGAGATGGACCTCGAAGACACGGTCGACGCCATCCATGGCGTGGTCCGCGCGCGGGTCCCCGCGGTCCCCCGCGGCCGGCGGGAGATGGTCGGGGAGATGGTCGTGGTCGGGGGTTCACGCTGACAAAAGGGTTTTTGTTTTTTTTATTTTTTTTGGGGGGGAGTCATGGGTGGATGGGTAGTGGTCATAGGACTCAGGTGTGATGGGTTTGGATCTGATGGTGGAGCCTGTATATGCATGCATATATAGTTACCGTTTACTACTCTCCTTTTGGTGCTTTCGTTTATTTTCTCACACTCTCACGACGTTATTCTAATCTTGCCTTTTATTGTTGTCTTGTTTGCTGTGTTTTTTTGGTGTCTTAATATAATACTATCTTGATTATACCTTTTGGAAACTTTTGGATACGCGTGTATGACTGACTGGTTTTGAAGCGGTGTAGGAACATGTGTGTGTGTGGGTTTGTGTGTGTGTGTGGGTGGGTGTGCGCGCGCGTACGCACGCCGTGTCACAGTCGGCGCCACCCGAGAAACTTGGCTTACTGGGGGCGGTACATGGGAGGTCCGTGTCATCTTACCAATCATCTGTGAGGATCTAGCTTCACTATGCGGAGTTTGCAAATGCTGCAGATAGAGTTATTCAAGTATGTCAGGTCAAAAAGCAACTATGAGTCGGAGCATTCTGAATCCAACAACAAATGTGACATTTAGATTATATACCAGTAAATATGAAGTGATGTGAAAAAAACACATGATGCTGCATGCTGCATGATGTAAATGCATGGTACGGCTCGTAAGCCGATTCGCCATCATAAGCCCCAGATGGTCCTCTGTTGGGGTTTTCGAACCAGTGCTCGCCCGTTTCCTTCCATCCCACCCGATCGATCTCGGTCTCGCTCCCATTTTTGGGCGAAGAGCCGGGCGGAGAACCGAGCAGAGGCAGGCGGACAGCGGAGGTGGTCAAAAAGATTGGACAAAGATGATGGTATGATTTTCTGATATTTTCTGATGATTTGCATGGATATGGATGTTCTCCCCCAAATCATCTTCAAATCCCTAAATCTTCATCAAACATAGGGAGATAGACAAATCCATCCTGATATCCTGTTCACCGTGCTTTGTCTATCGTTGCCCGTTTGCTGCACACACACACACAGAATCTGTGGGTGTCATCACTGGGCTGTGATTGTGTCAGAGATGTTGAGATCTCGCTTAGAATTGCAAAGTCCGACGAGATTCAGCTACTGAACCCACGCGATGGGCTCTCACTGCTCGCTCATGCTCACCACAAGCCTTGGTCGGTGGGCTCCATCGGATTTGTTGGGTGCACGGTCACTCTTGGCACAACTTTATGCCTTTAGAATGTGACCACTGGTGTAAGCCCTTCCTTAGTCAAAAGATGTCAGAAGGGTGCATATGGATAGGCATCACCCAGGACATCCAACTTTCAACTGGACAAAGGGAACACGATTCCTGTCACTTCCTGTCTCAAATTCATTTATGACAACCACCCAACCTGAAATAATAACCTGAGCCATGGAACCTGGTCTGGAAACAGCAACAAGGAAATACGAACACACCTTCACTGACCTTCACCGAACTGCTATAAATACAAATTAATATAAATATAAATTTACAAATTACACCGGCATGAATCCCAGATGGCAACTCTGAAACAGAAGCGCCTGCGACAATCAGAGAAGTGAGGAGACAGCTGGGGAGAGCAGCGGCAGCGACAGCAGTGCGGGAGCAGTGGAGCACAACACAACACCGATCAGCCACCCAATCCCACTGTCGTCCTCCACTACGGAGAAGTAAGAACCTGGGAATTCTCAGGTGAATGATGAGTAGCAAAGGGCATCAGCTACTGAGAAGTAAGCACCTGGGAATTCTCTGTAGCGTCCTTGTTCCTAGTAGCGATGCCCTTTGCTACTATATTTGCGTCCGATCGCTCCTATAGTAAGGCCAGCTAGGTTTGTAGCGTCCCATCGCGTTCGTAGCGATGCTCTTTCCAGCTTTCCACGAATTCTCTGGGGAAATCACCCCTGTTGGGCGGACCTCGGCCGTTGGGAAAGACGAACGTCCGACGACCGACGACCTCCGTTCACGTCCACAGCGACGCCGGTCGTTCGGTCAGCCGAAGCCGCTTGGTCAGCTCGCCCACGGAGGGGTACTCGAAGATCAGTGACGCCTCGCGCCGCGGGGCATTCGACGCTTTGGAGCGGCGAGGTCGGAAGGTCACATGACGTGATGGGTCAGGTGGTCAGGTGAGTCTGTTCCTTGAAGGGGGATGAAGAGGGTTTTCTGTTCAAAGCTTGCTTTGAGAAATCATGGATGCATTTCTGAGTGTGTATACTAAAATAGAGAGACCCTCCAACCACTGGGTTTTAGTTTATAATTCTTCTTCAAGGGGGTCTGTCATAGTTTCATACATGCACCCATGTGTTTCCTGTCGGAAGAGTCCAAGCATCTTTCGCCACACCTTTCACACCTGATGCAACCAAACCACAAAAATGCGCACTATAGTAACTCCAATTCCAGCCCTGTGCCACACCCGATGGTCAGGCCCAGCGCAGCAGCACGGGCGACCCGTTTCGGAGGACGAAGACCACTTCGGGGATCGTCGGGTGTTTGGGCATGGCCCTCCTGCCAACAAACATGCAAGTGGACAAGCCCCTGTTTGTAGGGAAACATGGGCTTTTCAGTGGTCATTCTCCACTTCTATGATAGTTTCCAGCAGGGTAACTCAAGTCCGCAGCTTTGATGGATACTCCTCACACAGCATCCTCCAAACAGGTCTCCATTGAATTGGCAACCTGTAAAGTTGCTGGTGTGGATGTTCTGCAAGGTTTGGGTTTTCTCATTTGAAGATGACTGCAATGTGGCTTTGGGGATCCATCGAAGAAAACTGAAAACAAGAGGATGTCAGTAGCTGATTGTAGCAGGAGGTGCAACTCTTGAGGCTTGGCTACGGCTGGGAGGACACCTCGAAGGTCACGATTGTCAGTCTGAACGATGGCTGTTAGCCCCCGTCAGTTCAGGAACCATGAGGAACCCGTAGGTCTTCTTTGGTTTGCAGTCAGTGTTGCCGGAGAACTTCGAATCCAACAATAAACTTGGTCACCAACTCGGAACAGGATGGTGATAGTCTGTCCACATCCGGATCGGATGCATCGTCTTATCGTTTTCAACCAAGTCGCAGGCAAGTCCAGCTGGAATCGGTTCGACAGGTCGTTGCGGAAGGCCACGCTCGTCAAGCTGTCCTTGGCCGCGCGGAAGCGCGACTGCCCGCGGAGACTGCGCCATATTATGTGTTCCACTCGTCACGATTGCTGACGAGGAGGTGATTCCCGGCCAGAAAACTAGGAGATGGTCCAGGGAGGCACGAAACTCATGGAGACACGGCACGGTTGTAGCACTGAGACACTCTCTGAGATCACTTGACCCTTTTTCGGGGTGAAAGAGCCCAAGGTCTGGAAGATACGTCTCAACCCGAGGTCTGCCAGATCCCCTTCTCCTGGAACTTCGTCCGCGTCTCTCGCCAAGGATCGCCAAGGGGTGCCCATGGAATCTATATATTATTGATATGAAAACGAACTACTAGCCAAACCTTAAACATGCTAAACATGCTTTAACCATGACCATATACAACCTAAAGGTCCCACCCACACCCATGTCAAGAATCTCCCTGTCACTGCCACATTTTGACTCAACACATTGCCACATTGCTTGAAATCAGCTCATCATAGCTCATCCATGTTTGACACGACATGTGGTTTGCTTTTATTTGATCTGCATGTTTGAGCAACCCCACTATAGATTCCTTTGGATCCGTTCCCTCGTTCCTTGCTAAGCACCTTTCAGTCATTGGGTCATCTGATTGACCAAGAGCTTCAAAGCTCCATACATGTTGCGGTTCAGTCTGCCAAATGTCCATCTGAAACAAACAGTCCTCAATGGTCCAGGCAGAAACAACAAAAACATGCCTCCCCCCCAGGGCTTCAAGCAATGGACACTCACATGAAGTGAACGAACATCTGGTTTGGAGAGAAAACCTGTCTTCCAAAAGAGTCATGATGGGCCATCTGTGTTGTTCTTTGGGGGTGAAAGGCTCCGCCATCTGCTGAGTCTTTCCCCTACTGTAGATCTCCTTTTCAGCAAGCACACCGTTCCTCCCAGTGGCCATCCCCATATCCATCAACACGCTATCGTCAAAGAGCTGGTCCTGGCGAAGCAAAGAACAAATAGGTTGGTTGGGACAGCAAAGGGTAGGTTGCGGGTGGACAAATAAGAAAGCCATTGAAAGGTGTAGCATCCACCTGAAAAAAGATAGAAACGTTGTCTTTCCTGCTGAGCATCCTCCCATATCCTCCCCTTTTTTGAGTATTTGACATGCAGCTGTTGCTCATGTCCGCTTTGTTGCGGCCTTTGTGGGGTCAAATTGGGCAAGGGAAATCCAACGATATCCAACGTCTTCTCCAATGAGAAGTCTGCCTTGCAACGTTCTTCCGCCAGCTTGTGAGAACAAGAACTACATCCGTCAGTGCCTGATTTGGAGAGATTCGGAGAGGTGTCCATTTGAGTTTGCTTGCAATATGTCTTTAGGGATGTATAATTCATCTGTTCACCCATTTAGTTGAAAATACTTCATAGCTTGCATTCCCAAGGTTCAAACCTTCTGGTGGAAATCCTTTGTGAAAAACCTTGTTGACAATCTATCGAGTGCCAAACAATTACCTGTTTGTAGAAGGCCGGGGCCCCCCGTGAAGCCACCAAACCCTAGGTGTCTTTCACCCCAAATAGAGCAAAGAATTCTATTTTCCTGGATTCTAAATCCCGTAGCTCTGGCTTCCTCCTGAATTCACCTGGCATTTGAACTCAGACCCTCAGACTGCTCATGTTTCATCTTCCCACTGCTCCTCCCCCTCTCAACCCGCTGCATGCGCTCCGTCTCCCGCCCCCCAAAACGGCCGACCCCCAGCACTCCGTTGAGTCCTCGGAGGCCACGGCGTCCTTGGCCAAGTCCATGATCAGCGAGCGCACCGAGTGGCGTTCCCTCGGGCGCGGCTGCACCGGCGTTCGGTCAGAGGCGTTGGAACGCCCAGTCCGGCGCGGCTTGAAAAACCAAGCCGGCGGGCGGAGGGGTGTCATGGCTGAGGAAGGGAAACTAAGGTCAACCAAACGCTGTAACATGAAGCTCGTAGGAGGCTTGGAGATGTCGCAACAAAATAAGGAATAAATGGGCCACGGGTTTGGGTCAATTATTGGAGACCAATGCGGAGACCAGCGCATCTTGCACCAAAAAGTTCGAGGGCTATCGTGGAGGAAATGCGGGACTACTCTCCATGCAGATTTAACCACTGATTTGCAGAGGAAAATAGTCTTAATTACTCCAGCTGCTCTTTCTCACTCTTTTCATACTGTCTCATTCCCTACTCTACACACCTCTACACCGGCTTTGGCCAAAGGGTTGAGGTTGAGGGAGTACGACCGTGCAAAAAAAAAAGGGACAACTGGTCGAAACCACGTCCGTCTGAACGATCGGATCGGATCCCGAGAACCAGCCCGGCCTTAAAACCGTGGGACTTACGGTGGGTACTGGGAGAGCTGAAAGGTATTCCATTGGTTGGGTGTCTCCCTATCAAAATACCAACCGTATGGGTCGGTCGTCAAGGCTACCGAAAACAGGTTGAACCCAACCACCTCAGGCCTTATCCCAGTCAGATCAGTAACCTCTCGAAGGTATCAACAGTGCAACTTCTGGGTGTTGATCCTGTCCACTCGAATGGGTTCTGTGGTCTACCAGGTGCTTGGTCCTTAGAGTCTATTGTTGGTGCAAATGAAGCATCATCATGCGTTCTCAGACTGACATCTCCCAGATTTTTGCCAACTGCAGGATGCTGATGATGGTTACTATGGATGTTGATCCCTCCAAGTGAACCAACGGCTTACCTTGCGTGCAATACCAAAAGCACCCAAGGGAAGAACTTGTTCAAGAAACAAACAAACAAACAAACAAACACACACACACACACACAAAAACACAATGAACAACAAACGAACAACAAGCAACAAGACAACAACAAACAAAACAAAAACTACAAACAACAACAAACGACAAAATCGACAAAAAAAAAAACATACAAACAAACAAACCGACAAACCGACCAACCAACCACAACCACAACCACAACCACATCAACATCCACATCCACATCCAACAACAACAACAACCACAACCACAAGCGCAAGCACAAGCACAAGCACAAACACAAGCACCACCACCACCACAACAACAACCACAACCACAACCACAACCACAAGCACAACCACAACCACAACCACCACCACCACCACCACAACAACAACCACAACCACAACCACAACCACAACCACAACCAACCAACAGCAACCATAAACAAGAACAAGAACAGCAGGAACAGCAACACAACAACAGCAACAACGTCGCCACTAACCCCACAAACGCACAAAGGAAGGACGCTCGAAACGACGCCCCACCGCTCAACGCCCAGCTGCAACTTCTTGCTGACCACCTGCTCAGGCATTCCTGTCAAGGCCGCCACATCGGAGGTTGAGGTGGGCTCCACAGGGCCTCGGCGTGTCGCGGCGCATGTGAGGGTTTTCTCAGGGGAACCTCCGGAGTTTGACTCGACCCCACCTGGGAGTATCTGGGCATCATCCATCCACCACTCCCATACAGCAAAAAAGAGTTATGACTGGACCTCGCCGAAAAGGAGCCTGCGGAACTCACCGAAAGGCGATCAAAGGATATCAAAGGATCAGGCAGCAAAAGACTCACCTCCTCATCCGGACTCAAACAACGGGGTTCGCAACCAGCGAACTTTGGGGGGGCCGAAACCAGGCGAACACCAGTCGTCTTTGCTTTGACACAGCGACTGACTAGGACACAGTGGCAAAAAGTTGGTGTTTTTTCCATGCTTTCCAGATTTGGTACATCTTAAGGGAAAAAAGTGTGTGTTCGTGTGTCTTTGAGCATTGGCCAAAAACTACACCTTGTCTGGCAGTGCCTGAGCATTCCAGAATACAGAAGAGGCATCACCTCTTCTGTATGTGCAGCGTGTGGAAAGCTTGAGCGACCCATATACCCGCCACGGGCAGTAGGAAAAAATATAACAAGATGAACAAATGGTATTCAGTGGATTTCAGAGGTGCCGGGGTCCCCTCAACTTTCGAACACGGACGGTGCGTCTACGGACATGCATGAGATTAGGTGGGCACTAGCTGCTTGACCAGTGGCGTGCCACTGGGACAGCCGTTGCCCGCTGAAGAACCTGCTGGGATTGATCACACATGTGGGCAAAAGAATCAAGCAAACCTGAATCCACCTACCAGCGCCACGAACTCTTCTCTTCAGCAGCAGAACACTTTTCACAGCCTACACCATCCCCCTTATACTAATTATATATACCTGAATATTCCTAGGGCTGCACTTTTTGCGCCTCCAATCTAGAAGGCGCCTCTAGGAACTGAGAGGCAATTTTTTTTGCAAGAGGCGATTCTTGTGTTACATAGATTTCTCCCCAGTTATGTTGATAGAACATATGATAACCGTGATAACAATGAAACTTATACACTTAACATATAGGAAAAACACCACAAACCCCGAACCATGAACCAAACATAAGTTATATGCATTCAAAAGGTTCAAGCATGATAAACCGTGAAACACATGAAGGCACGATAACTCACTGTGGAAAAGTGAGCGCACACAACATGAAACTATGTATAGATATATATGAACTGCTAATTTTCCATTTGGAGTTGCCTGCGAAAAATGACCCCCACAAGTCCGGCTTTCCCCTTCAACACCTGCATTTCAGGCAGGTCCAACCGGACTTGTGGGTGTTTTTTTGCAAGGAAAATTGCAAGTATGAACATGATATCGCGCAATTTGATAAACACACATGAAAACATGAAAAACATGAAAAAACACATGAAAAACCTGAAATACATGAAAACACATGAAACATATGAAAGCCACATTAAAAACATGAAAGCACAGGAGAGCCACATGAAAAAAACAACACATGAAACATATGAAAAACGCAAAATACACGAAAACACACATTAAAGCACATGAAAAACATGCAACATAAGCAAAACCATGAAACACGTGAAACAACGAGGAGCGGAACTTCCCGGGTAAGAGGCGGAACTTCCCGGGTAAGAGGCGGAATTCCTGGGTTATGAATTTTTGGCATAGTATTTAATTAAGTCGACAGGTTGCCGCTTTCAGGCTCGTCTCTACTCGAAAGGGGAAATGGCGTATCAGCTTCCATCCCGTGTCTTTTCGAGTTCGACCCTGATGGCTGGTTTGACGTTAGTGAAAGAAGAGAAAGATGTGGACAAACTTGATGGTGACGATGCAACCCTGATGTCAGAGCTGCAACAACCGCAGGTGGGGCTGTTCGTTTCTATAGGTATTGATACTCACCTCTAGTCAGTGTTTTGGTCTGAACATTTCCTGGCTAAACATGTTAGCTTTGTTTTCTGCCGGTTGCAGGCGCTCAGGTTGCAAATCCAGCAACTGCCTACTCCTATGACCTCTGCCTTGAAAGACCTCCAAACGCCAAACACCTCGGAGAGTTACGTCTTGCCTGATGATGAAACTCAAACGGCTGGTTTGGGCTTGGACGCAGTTGCTAGCAAGCATGATGAAAGTCTGTTTGCTTGGGTTTGACCGATAATCTTTTATCATGTTGATATCATGTTGATAGCTGTCGGCAGCAGCAGCAGCGGAAGACCACCAAAAACATTACACATGACAAGATTCCCTTCTACCAGAAAAGCACGAGAGGCAGTTTTTGTTCTAAGCGGCAACTCTTGAATGGAGAGGCTAACATTTGAGCCTCTCTGCTAAGAGGCTGAGAAAAGCAACCACCGGAGGTTTAAGGTACATCGATCTATACCGTAACCATCTGTAACCCATTGCAGCCGCACTTCTATTCTGAACCCAGTTTCACCACCCGTTTCACCACCGAACCCCCGCACAGCGAGCACTCACCTCCTCAGCCATCTGACTGCCATTGAGATCACCCAGCTTCTTGAAGGTGGCCATCGCAGGCCTGGCGACGAAGAAGACTCGACGGATCTCGACGGTCCCGGATCCGCCCACCCACCACGCGGATCCAGCCGAGTAGAAGGGGGAGATCGGAAGGAGAGGTCATCAAAACCCTCTTCATCCCCCACCCCCAAAAAGAAAACTCACCTCTAAGACTCTAGACAAAGACTGACCAGCAAGCCCTGCTGGACTCGCCTCTGAGGGATTCTAGGGTTCTCTCCTGATCCGCTTTGGACCTGGGGATCCGCACCCTATAGACGCCCTAGACGCTCACCCTGCGCACCTTAAAAGTTCCACCGCTTTGCCCTTGTCATTGGGCAGCTGGATCTGAGCTTCCTCGTGCCGAGAACGCGACGCGTCGCCGACGTGCCGAGGGTGCGGCGCTGCGTCCGAGTTGATGTCGAAGGGTGCTTCCATTGGTTGTTCTTTCTGGTTAGCGAGTTGGTGACCTCTATTACTACATGTCCCCCCGAAATGGTTGCAGCAACTGGTCGAACTGGTTGCAGCAACTGGTCGAACAATCCTCTTTAACCCATCGATGAAACCACATCCATTTCCAGTCATTTGATTCATTTGATCCACCGCCGATCATAGATGATCATATAGGTCGCGTATAATGGATCACTGAATCAACACACAAAATGCACACCCCCTTTCATGACCACATCTATAGAAAATCAAACAGCACAGCTCCATCTCAGCACCAAGGAGTTAACCTGGGCACACGATGGCACACGTCCTGTGTCTCTGAAAGCAAACACTGGCCGGCCCGACATGCCAGGGATCCAGGAGCTGGACATGGGCTTCCAAACCCAAGTTCTGGGTGTCTCGACCTAGAGCCGCCGCCGCCGCTCGGAGCCGCTCGGACCATGCATGCTCAGGAGTACCCCCCGAAGACGATAGTCCGAACACAGACGTGCAATGAACATAATAGGGCCAACCTCCCAAGAATCTGTTCTTCCCCACGAAAAGGATGGTTGCTAGCAAAGCACGGGCGTGCTTCACGTTCCAACAAATGTTTGAAATTAATACATCAGAAAAACCATGCAAACAATTGGTTAGTCTAAGTTAATTAGTCTATGTTAGTCTCAGCTGGTCCAGTCTTTGCTCCTTGGGGGTGGTTGGAATCTGCTCCCACTCCGAACATCGACTCGGCGGGCCGACTCAGACCGTGATCGGGCCGATTAGACCGAGACGACACACGTGCCGTGCCTCACCATGCACTTGTTCCTAGTAGCTTCTTGTTACTACTAGTAAGGCACTTGTTACTAGAAGCGATGCACTTGTTACTAGTATATAGCTTCTTGTTACTCCAATGGGGCCTTTCAGGAACCGGGCCGTGCCTCACTCCACCGGGCGCAGCGAGCTGCGAACCGCGACCCTTCGGTCCAAGGCACAGATCTTCACCAAGGCCTCGGGTGCGACGTCTCGGCGGATGAGACGCTCGGTCCCTCCCAGCAGCGGTGCGTCGAGCCAGCTGAGAGGTGCAAACACCAGCAAGCACCGTGCGCGGTTTTTGGAGTTCGTGTAATTAGTGTTGAGATGTGTTGAGTGGTTTTCAGACCATGTATATCCGCGTCGCCTATATAGACACCCCCGTATTTTGAGGTCTTTGGAATCCATGTGGAGCCAATTCTTTCGAGGGGTACAAATACCCTACTGGTCCCCCTCCCGATCCCCGGTCTGCCTCCAAGGACTGGAGAGCTTCGCTGGGATCCTGGAGAAAGAGAGAGCTTCGCGCTGGCGCTGGCGAAAGAATCCAAACACCCAGGGTGTTGACCTAGCGCTGGCGGTTCCTGGGTGCCCCCTCCTGTCTACAGGGCCTATTTACGTAGGGTAGGTAGGGTAGTCCAGGGCCAGGACACCCATAATTGGATGATCCTGGTAGCTTCTGAATGCATGTCGTTTCACCTGATGTGAGTCGAGATTTTGATCGGACACCAAGATGTCCAGCCTCCATGAATTAACGACACAAGGACAGGCTTCGAATGGTTTTGATATAGGTGCTCATATGGGACAATGTCAGGCATGGTACTACCGGCACCAGTTCTTCAGTCGGGGAGTATACTGGGCATGTCAGGCCACTGGCGAACCCACAGAGCTCACACCCCACACCCCACAGACTGGGTCGATCCTTCAGGGCCACGCTGTGCGCTTGCCAGTAGAGCGCCAGGCCATGGAGGCGTCTGCGGGTTCCGAGGGTTCCGAAGAGAGAGAGAGAGAGAGAACCAGGATCCACGTAGCACCTCTAGCTAGGTCGAAAGTCGCCCCAAGCCTAGCTAGATTGAAAGGAAACGGAGTAAAAGAACTTGCCCTGCTTTTGAATCTCATGATTGATGGGAATACGTTCTGAATCGTTCTGAGTATCTGAGTATCTCCAAATACCATATGCGCAACTGGAGCGACGCCTTTGCGACCGGGTGGTGTCTACAACATTGGCATTGCCAGGCAAGTCAACGCCTGGTGAGGAGGACATCTGCTTGCAGTCTGTGTGTGAGTTGTTAAGAGTTAAACAATTGAACACCAAAACCAGTCACAGTGCATTTAGCACACATAAACTCATCCACACCAATTCCATCGTGCTCACCATGGGTCTTCAGGCCGAATCTAGGTTCTCCAAATCCCAGACTTGGTCCAACTTGGGCAGTCAAGATCCCAAAGTCAAAGTCCTTCCAGGTATCTCCAGGTCCGTGGTGGGTGATGTGGTTCACTATCACTCGTTTTTCACTATCCATTGGGGGGGATGTTGGAGTTGATCATCCCGTAGCCTTCAAATCTCCACAAAAGCCTTCAATTCTCCACCCGTGTCGGCACCCCTCCTTGTCGCCAGCGTGTGTTCCGGGAAAACCTGCCGATCCCACCGCCCTCGAATCACCAGATATATAAATTTAATATCAAAAAATACCGGCGCCCTTCAACAGGTCACCACCTGCCACTTTTAGACTCTCCCTAGATCTTAAGTTGCTTGGGGTCAAAAAGTCGAGACTTTTTTTG